TATTGTCACACAGTTCCTCGCTCTGCTCCTCTTTGGCCTCCAAGTGCTCCGGCTCCTCCTGGCTCACGCTCACCTCCTGCTGTGTAGGAATTTCTCTTTTAAACATTGGTGCACATGGAGGTTTGGCGTCTGTAAAGACAGAAAAGAGATGCAACTGTGAACAGCAAACCTGTACCAAAGTCAAAGTGGGGAGGGGCGAACATAGCGGACAGGTGACACCGATGGGGTGCAGTGATCTTTGTCTCGACTTCTCTCAGTTGAAATTACATATATTTATATGGTCATCGGGGCACTTGGGGCAGAAACCCCCAAACTGGAGGAGTGGCTAAAGCAGATCCCAGGAAAAACATCAGACGACTCAGTCCAGAAAATTGCAGTTCTAGTAACAGCTAAGATACTGTGTAGAACCCTCAAGCTCCCAGGCCTTTGGTAGAGGACCCGAACTTGGAAGGATGAGACCACCCGCAGAGGGTGAGATGGGATATATATATATATATATATATATATATATATATATATATATATATATATATATATATATATATATATATATATATATATATATATATATATATATATATACTGTGGTGAACGGCAGGCTGTCACCTTTATTTCACAGTTGGCTGTACACTCAAGCTGGGTTCTTCTTCCATTATCCAAAACCAGTCACAGAGCGTAAACACACCGCACTACCCCTGCAGCACGTTAGATGAATAACAACTCCCATTACAACTATGTATGGATATCATGGACGTAATTTTTGGGGGGGGACAGGGGGGACATGTCCCCCACACTTTTTCCAAAGTCAAGTTTTGACCCCTGCACTTTTTACCATCCAAAAACAGTATTACACTATATTAAATTGACACTGGTTGAGCTCTAGGACCAAGCAGAAAACAACAGTTTTTGTTGAAGCCTGTTTCCCATTAGAACATACTGTAAAGATCCCCCCCCCCCCCCCCCCCCCCCCCCCCCCCCGCCGTCCCCTCCACTTCCAAAGTGAAGGTTACGTCCATGATGGATATACACCTTGTTATGTTCAAGGGCAGTGAGATCTTACGTATCACATTAGGAGACATGTGATTGGTGGAGACCCCAGGCGGGAAGGGGTAGAAAAATACACAATAAAGATGGCGGTGAGCCGAAACGTTAAATCGGTGTCTGTGATTTGATTCAGGGGCAGAGCTCACAAAACAGAACAATGGTGACGAAGATGAGCATTTTTGTCAAGGTAAATCTGGACTAGACTCGGGGAAACAAGATGGACAGTTCGCTCCCAAAGTTTGACTGCTACAACGAGCCAGCCACGCTAGGATCGAGGTGGACAAGATGGCTAACAGCTTAGTTTTTAATAACTGGGTCGAACTCTTGTTCTTACTTTTTTCTTGTGTTTTCTTTATATATATATATATATATATATATATATATATATATATATATATATATATATATATATATATATATATATATATATGTCTTTGTCTATAGTTTCTCTAAATGCGAGAGGTATGAGAAACCAACAAGAAAAGCCATATTTCTACACTGTAAACAACAAAATACAGATTTTTGCTTTCTTCAAGAATCACACTCAACTTTGCAAAATCTTAACTTCTGGAGGTCACAGTGGGGATCAGATCTATGGTTGTCCCATGGGTCAGAGCGTTTGGCTGGTGTATGTATCCTAAAAAATCGATATAATGGAAAAGTCTTAATTTCTGAATGTGACAACGAAGGTCATTATGTACTACTCACAGTGGAAATAGAAAAATATATTATAATAATAATAGTAAATATTTATAAATATCACAATTTATTTGAAAATTCTGTGTTAATCGATAAGGTAGAAGAACGACTCTCATACTATTTAACCAAATATCCAAGTTCTCATGTTATTATAGGAGGAGATTTAAATGTTATCTTGAATAACCTGATTGACAGATGGCCACCGAGAAACAACAATAACTCTCAAAATAATTTCATAAAATTTCTTATGGATAGACTTAACTTCATTGACATCTGGAGGGAAACACACCCATCACAAAAGATTGTACCTGGGCCAATAATTCTTTATCAAGACAATCAAGAATTGATTACTGGCTTATTTCTAAAGACTGCAGTTATGGAACTGCAAGCATTCTTCCTTCGCCTCTTTCAGACCATGAAGCCATACATACAAGTATCCCTTTAATCCCAGCTATAAATCATTTTAGATCTTCCTACTGGAAGCTTAATAGTAACATTCTTAAAAATGAGGAGGTTCAATTACAAGTAAACAATCTCATTACATTTTATTGGGACAAAGCCTTAAAATAAAAAAGTTTTAGCCTCAATTGGGAACTATTTAAACATGATATATCAAAATTTTGTCAGAAATACAGTAGTGTAGTGACCTGGTAAAAAAATGAAAAAAGAAGAGGAGGAAGTAGTTAAAAAGATCTCCCTTCTATCTTCTAACACTGCTGTTTTCTTAGATATTGATGAGAAGGAACTTGATAAGATGCAGATTAAACTGGATAAGATTTATGAAAGGAGAGCTGAAGGTGCATTTGTCAGATCACGTAGGCCATGGCTGGAGAAAGGCGAGCAGAGCTCAGCATATTTCTTTAGGCTGGAAAAACAACAAAGGATAATTCCATTAGACAACTTAACATAAATGGAGCTGTTGTTGAAAACCAGAGAAATAGCAGCATTCTGCACTGAATTTTATAGCAATCTCTACACTTCAATTCAATTCAATTCAAAAATACTTTATTAATCTCAGAGAGAAATTGATTAATTTCTGATCTCTACACATCCAGGTTGTCAACAGTCGGCCACCGATTTCTTTGATTACCTTTCTGATAATAAAAAACTGCTCGACAGTGACGTCGATTTCGGTGATAGACCAATAACTGTTCAAGAAGTCAGCAGTGCTTTAGGGCAGTTGAAAATAAATAAATCTCCAGGTTCCGATGGTCTTACCTCAGAATTTTATAAAACGTTTTCAGACAAATTGGCTCCATTTCTAATTGAGGTTTTTACAGAAAGTATTCAGAAAGGATCATTACCCCCTACATTACGTCAAGGTGTTATTACTTTAGTCCCTACGCCACGAAAAGACCCGCTCTTTTTAGATAACTGGCGGCCGATATCTTTGTTGAACAATGATTATAAAGTATTAGTAATTGGTAATTGTTTTATGTAATAGAATTAAATTAGTTATTGATCCCGTTATTGATGAATGCCAGTCAGGTTTTATGAAAAGCAGACTTTTATCTAATAACATTAGGTTAATACAAGACATGTTGTATTTTCCTGATCTTATAACTGACAATAGTTTAATTCTCTTTATGGATTTTTATAAAGCATGTGATACATTAGAGCATGCCTTTATGCTAACTACACTTAGGAGGTTTGGATTTGGGGATTTTTTCTGTACGAGTGTACAATTGCTGTATGTGGGAGGGAATAGCTCTGTTAAACTGCCTTTTGGTACGTCTCCTAGGTTTACTCTTCAACGGGCTGTTCGACAGGGATGCCCTCCGTCTCTGTATCTTTTTCTGTTAGCAGCATAGATTTTAAATATTCACATTAGGAACAGCTCGTTACAGGGAATTAGTATTGCAGGTAGAGTTGTCTCCATAAGTCAACTGGCTGATGATACAGCTGTTTTTAAAAGATGTGTCACAGGTTCCTATAGCCCTATTGAAAGTTTCACTAAGGCATCTGGGTTATATCTTAATGTTAACAAGTGTGAACTATTGCCAGTGGATGAGTGCCCATACTCCTCTGTTTGCGGCATTACAGTTAAAAATAATGTTACATACTTAGGTATTAATATTTCTATGGACAGCAGAAATGGAAGCATAGATAATTTCACTCCCATCATAAATAAATCAAAAAGGATTTTTAACAGCTGGCTACAAAGAGATTTGTCCCTGAGAGGTAGAGTTCTGCTAACTAAAGCAGAAGGGTTGTCCCATTTAACTTATGTTGCCCAGTCTCTATATGTAGATAAGTCAATATGTAAGTCTATTGACAGGATGTTATTTGATTTCCTATGGAAGAACAAAACTCATTATTTACGTAAGTCCGTTGTTCAAAATAATGATAAGTCAGGTGCCCTAAACTTTATTGATTTCGACTTCCTTAATAATACTTTTAAAATTAAATGGATAAAAAATTACCTTAAGAATCCAACCGCTATCTGGAACTTTATTTCACAGCACATTTTTTCACATTTAGGTGGTCTAGAGTTTATCCTTCTCTGTAATTATAGTATTCCAAAAATACCTACTAAACTTTCTAATTTTCACCAACAAGTACTTTTAGCATGGTCTCTCATCTATAAGCACAACTCATTCGATCACATGGCTTCTCCTACCACTGCTATGCAGATGACACCCAGCTCTATCTGTCATTTCCACCGGACGACCACACTGTCTCTGCACGAATATAAAACGGTCTCTCTGACATATCTAAATGGATGAAATCCCACCATCTCCAACTCAACCTCTCTAAAACTGAACTAGTTGTCATCCCAGCAAAACCATCCATACAGCACAATATCTCAATCCAAAATGACCTCCTATCCCTGGCTCCTTCAAAGGCAGTTCGAAATCTGGGTGTTGTGATTGATGAACACCTGACCTTTAAAGATCATGTTGCCTCTGTTGCTCGTTCATGCCGCTTTGCGCTGTATATCATACAAAAGATCAGACCATACCTAACACAACATGCCACCCAGCTCCTGGTACTGTCATCTCCCACCTCGATTACTGCAGTGCCCTTCTAACTGGTCTTCCAGGCTGTACTGTGAGACCTCTTCAAATGGTTCAGAACGCAGCGGCGTGTCTGGTCTTCAATCAGCCAAAAAGAGCACACGTCACCCCTCTGTTCATTGAGCTCCACTGGCTACCGCTAGCAGCACGCATCAAATTCAAATAGCTAACACTAGCATACAAAGTCCGAGACGGTACGGCTCCCATCTACCTGAATCCTCTTGCAAAGGCTTACGTCTCGGCCCGGCCGCTCCGGTCATCACAGGATCGTCGGCTAGCAGTGCCTACACCACGCTCAGGAAAATCCAGACTCTTCTCATGCATCGTTCCACAAATGTGGAATGACCTTCCAAGCACTACCAGAACAGGGGCTTCCTTTTCAATTTTCAAGAAACTCCTGAAGACCCTGCTCTTCAGAGAGCATCTTCTTAACTAGCACCGTCCCTGCACCCGTCCCCCCTCTACTGTCCATTCCTTTGTTCCCTACTCTCCATGATTTATGTGAAGTTGTTGTTGTTATTGTTGTTAGCCTCAAGGGCAACATGCCGATTATCACTTGTAAGTCGCTTTGGACAAAAGCGTCTGCTAAATACATAAACATAAACTTCTCTCCTCAAAAATGTTATATCTGGAACACTTCTACTATTCTGTACAATAACAAATCTATATTTTTGCAGACAGTTTAATAGTGGTATTAACCTAGTGCATCACTTGTTTAACAGTAAAGGGTTTTTATACGGATACACAGAATTTCTTAACAATTACAAAGTTCCTGTTACTCCAAAAGAGTATAGTACTGTAATTGATGCGTACCATCTGGTTTAATAATGTTATTTAAAGGTGTAGACTTGTCTTCTACCCAACCTGCGAGTCCTCCTGATCCTAGGCAAACTACTGTTGGTGAGATCTGTTTTTCAAATGTTAAAGGTACTAATTCCAAAATACGTTCTTTGTTTCAAGAAAATTTGGTCTCCAGTCCATCCTCTGTATCACACTGGAACACAGCCGCACAGAATCTTAATTGGGTCAAAATTTGGTCTCTTTCACAGAATTTTTTTCCAACTAATAAAGTTAAACAAGTGTCTTTTAAATTAATTCACAGATTTTAACCCACAAAACACTTTCTTCAGAAATATAAAGCAGATATAGATGGATCTTGCTCTTTCCGTAAATGTCATCCAGAGACGTGTATGCATCTTTTATGGAAATGTACCTATTCACAGAACTTCTGGAAGGACATTGCAACTCTGGTGTGTAAAATCAAACCGAACTTTTCACTGTACTTTGAAAATGTTTTGTTTGGCATCACAGATTTTGATGTGAAAGACTCATCTCAGATTTTTTTCATGAATCTGATCCTGTTTCTAGCAAAATTCCACATTCATGAATCCAAAGTTACAAATACCAAACCTTTTTACAAATTATTCGCTGCTGATCTCAAAGTTTTTATATGTACAATAACAGATTCGACCAATAAGAAAGCCATAAAAACTATGAGTATTTATTTATAATGCATGTAATATCACTATGTAACTCGCATTTGGTGTTTTTCATAGTCTGTTTTTTCTCTTTTTTCCCTGTTTGTCTAGTTAGTGTAGTATTTGTACCATAATAACGGTTGTAATGCTTAAAATTTAAAAAAAAAAAAAAAAAAAAAAGGAATGCTAGTCAATGGGGCTAAAACTTTAATTTCTAATTCCGCTTGTTTTGTGCCATGGATTTCACAAGTAATGTCCGTGAATTTTAAAGGCACATTTTGATGCCAAGAACGTGCTTGTTTTCGAACGGGGGAAACACAATTTTAGGTTTTGTGTGAAAATAAATCCAGATTACAAATGTGCTTCATGAAAGTGACGTCATCGAACCAGACACGAAAACTGCGGGAAAAGGGCTGTAAATTCAGGAAACTTCTCACAGGAGGAAAGAACCACAATAAATCTGGTCGTTTGGCGAGTAGCAGCTACTTTGTGGAGAGGATATTGTGTGGTGACGTCATGCTAATTACGAACTTTTACAAGCTAATAAATCTCAAAGTACGTGACTTGCGTGGTCAAAACACTCATCATTAATTTTAAATGAAATAGCTTTAAATCGTAGTGCATGTGAGATCCAGGGCGTAAGGCAAAGCGGATTAGAAAATAGCGTTTTTAGCCCCGTTGACTTGCATTCATTTTTCGTTCTTCCAGGAACCCATGATGTGGTGTCGGTACAAGATCTGCTCGGGTGCAAGATCGGCTTGGGGTCCGTCGGCTGCCGATGACGTCTAAGTAGTTGATTGGCTGAACATGAACCTTACGGAATTACGTAATCACGTTACGTTGTTATCACGTTACGTTGGTCCAGGCAAATCTTTCTGTTGGAAAGATGGACAACTTTTACAAAGAAATCCATCATTACCTCTTTGAAATACACTTTTAGCATAGAGCTGCATGTATATTAGGGCTGAACGATTAACTGCATGTGCAATTAAATTGCGATGTGGCAAAAGGAGATTTTCTAATCGCAAAGGCTGCAATTTGGCAGCGAGTGGTTAGTGCAATGCTAATATACGTGGAAAAACCCATAGAAATGCTAATGCTAATATCACCGATTACATTATTACAAATTATGAATTAGAAACGTGCCAAATGATTACATTTGGAGTCTAATAGAAAGTAAAACTACCATCAATCAAATAAGTACAGACAGGTATTTTAGTAAAGCCAGAAAACTCCAGAGCTTTGGCTAGCAGCTATGAGCGTAACTGAACTACGCATGGACGTCAAAAACTCTAAACACAAAATACTTCAATAAATGGGTCACACTTCTTTCCTGCAAATACAATTTCACAGGTGTTGCTAATACCTATGATCCTTCTAGGGATGTGCTCAAAGAGGAGTTCAACATTATGAATAAATAAAGTGTTTTATTTTACAAATACCATTATAAACACAAACTTACGTCTTAAGAAACATTATTTTAACAACGAAACTGCTAAATTCTTTCCAACAGTACAAAGATGTGTAGCGTATTTTGTCCGAGTGGGTTTGCCGTACTTTGACGTCATCGGCAGTCGAAGGACCCCGAGCCGATCTTGCACCCGAGCAGATCCTGTACCGACAGCGGAAGTAGACTTGGGCTCCCTGCTGCTGCTCTAAATCACCAAAGACACGTCCTGTTTATTTGTTCTTGCTGCACAAACAGTACCAGCTGTGCCCGGGTCACTGGGGCAGATCATTCTGGTGTTATGTCGATAGTGCTGCTTTGCTAACGGCAGCTACCGCTGGTTAGTCGGTCCGGTCGGTCCCGACCATAGCTAGCAGGGATTGTCCTATTGCGGTCAGTTGATTTGATCATTATAAAGCCGGGTAAACCGAAACTCACCGGTTCTGTGGAGTCGTATCTCTGGTTTATAGACTAAATCTAGCAACCGCTGTAGCCGTAGGTTCTCCTGTTGGGTCCGGTACACCTCCTCCTGGTTCTCCACCATCACCTTTTCAAAGAACCCGTAGATGTCCATCGCGACAGCGGTCAGTCTTTCAGTGAGGAAGCCGTTAAACGACTCAAGTGTGTGTGAAACCATCATCATCCCTCGTAGCAGTGTGTGTGTGTGTGTGTGTGTGTTACTTTTCTCCTGAAGGTGTTTCCACCGCCCACAGACGCCCCCGGTCCTTCGACTGCCGATGACGTCACATTACTGCAAATCTACTCGGCTTTCACACACACATTTTGGAAAGACATCAGCAGTTTTGTTAATAAATTCTTGTTTGTTAACACCTAAATTTTTTCTTTATAATTGTAATTTGTTAATAAAACACCATATTATCTTTGTTTAGTAAAGAATGTGAAACTGCATGAAACCAACGTCGCACTGACAAACAATAGAACAGTTCTTATATGTGAAGCCACATCTGTTTGTATTAATGTGGAGTTCGTCTGTATATTCCCTTAGTTGTTATCTAAATGCAGTCTTTGACTCAAAATATTGCTTGGTGTCTTCCAGTAAAGTTCTTATATTTTATTTTGCCCCATTTCATCAACATCTAGAGCTTTTGAGGGTCACCGTTTATCATTTGCTTATATTATACATTTCCTTTAGAAATTCAAAACATATTTTCTCCAAAAAGTGTTGATTTTTGGACTACAGGACTACAACCGCTAAGACTACGACCGCAAATGTGTTCTGACCAGTGTTGGGCAAGTTACTTCAAAACTGTAATGCATTATTTATTACTTGTTACCCTCATTTTAAAGTAATTCATTACATTACAATATTACTGATTTTAAAATGTAAGGCATTACACTACTTGTGCATTACTCTAAGTTACTTTCAACAAAACAACTTCAGTATGAGTTTGGTAATCTGATGCCTGGTGAACTCATGACACATCCAGTGGAAGGTGATGTGGTGTCTGAGCTAGGACTGCTGTTAAAAACAGTTCTTTAGAAGGATTGTTTATGTAATAAACCCTGCCCTTTCTCTCTCCAACCTCCCTGCATGCTGCATGTTTTCTCCGTCTTCCAGAAAAAACTGTTTCCTAGACTTCCTACTTTCTAACTATCGGCCAAAGGGATCTTCACATGCGCAGCGCTCCAGCAGCAATGAGTTAAAATCACCGGGGCCCAGATTAACTCAGCTGAGGCAAAGCACGTCAGAAAAGTACAGAATACCAGAGAATATGCGCTGATATGAACGATCGCAAGTGAATTATTTTGTTTTAGTGGAGCGATTTTGTGAATGTTACAGCGGCCGCGCGCAGGATGCAGCTGGAGTATTTGAGCCGGTACCGCTGCGTCCTCTCTGCCTGCAAAGCTGTCCATAAATGACGTAATATATGCAGATACTGGATCTTTCTTCGGGTTTCCCGCAATTTGAATTTTTAAGAAACGCATCTTGATTCTGGGTTTAAAATGCATTGTAATTACTGCGTCACTGACAATTGTACCGAGTAAATATTACCATTTTTTTTCCTGTAATGCCTTACATTACCACATTACAACAAAAAGCAATGCATTACAGTAATTAATTACTTCTGTACCGCATTACTCCCAACACTGGTTCTGACCAATCAAAATCATAACGTGATAACGTCACTTCTGTAAGCTTTATGTTCAGCCAATCAACTACTTTGACGTCATCGGCAGTCGAAGGACCCCGAGCCGATCCTGCACCCGAGCCGATCCTGTACCGACACCGGCAAACGGCGTAATATTATCGCAATGGTATGTCTATAAACGTGCCATATGGCAGTAATTGTCTGTCATATGCGTCCTGGCGCAACAGAGGCAGATGTCATGATGACGTGGGGAGTTATTGCTGAGCTCCGGCTGGCAAATTTGTTGAAAATAAAAGTAAACACCGGCAATAAGGTTTGCTTTTTGAACAAATTCATCTGAGATGGCAGACTGGAGCGCCGCAGCGCTCCATAAGCCTCTCTGTTAGAGCTGAAGCTCAGATCACCAGAGACTGCACAGGGACTGATGGGGACAGACACCTTTAGGAGCTACTTGTTAAAAAAAACTTAACAATCACGGCTTCAATCACAATAAAAAGCAAGTTATGTCCAATGGAAGTCTGCGGCAGCGCAGAGACCACCCCCATACCCCCTTTATGCCGCCATCACCTAATCTTTTATAAAATTTCCACGATTGCGCCACATTACCGCCACGGTCTGATCTTATAAACCACCTTTATCTTCCCCAGGGAGCCGTGCCAGATCCCGTTTTGCAAATGCTTCGGTCCTGTGCAAACAGCTTTTGTGAGTCTATAGTTATTCAACAGCAGTGTGCGAGCCGATGGCTCCTCCATGCAACATCTGCAGCTCACCAGAGCACCATTGTAGCTTCTTCTGAGGAGAAAAACACTTAGAGACTAAATAAAGTAAACAGCTGAAAAAGCAGGAATTAATGCAGTCTGAAAGAAGAGGTGGAAGAAAGTAGTAGAGTGTGGAAAATGGTCAGTGTGTCCTCCAGCAGTCGAAGCCTATAGCAGCATAACTACAGAGATTACTCTGGACAACCTGGCCTTTTAGATGGAGGCATGTTGGAGGCAGGGCAAGGGAGAGCCGTCTTTACCGACCGTATTGTCCACTGTACACCCCATCTCTCTCTACTCCCCCACTCGTCCAAACCTTGGCTAACAGCAGAATTTGACCATGGGCCCTATCAAGTAAAAATATTTAAAGTCTAGTGTTAAAAGGGGTTTTCCTCACAGGCTAAAGCTGGGAGCTGGTTCCACAAGAGAGGAGCCTGATAACTAAACGATCTGCAGCACATACACTTAGAGAAAAGATTAAGAAAAAAAGAAAAAACAAAAGCATAGGTAAATAAGCATATATTAGCTATTATTGTAACCATAACAATTAGAACAACAAAATGAAAAATGGAAAATTCTTTTTCCCAAAATTTGCAGCATAAGGGACACAGACATACTAATATACATCCGGTATTACATGAGAATTGAACACATACTGAATATTGCTTTGATTTTAGCGTATAGAAGAATAATCCCAGTAAATGTTAAACAGAGGAGTTATACATTTTTACTGCAGTGGGGATAAATTACCTTTGGTAGAGTTCTGTTTTATATCTTGGATGTCGCGGTCTGCCTCTGAAGGAGCTGTTCATGGTCTCCACACTGGCATGCGATGGGTGAGAGCGGTTTTCCAAGATGGAGGTCATCTTCCCCACATCCTCCTTTCACACGTCTCCTCAACGTCTGGTTGGCAGCCCAGCACCAAGCTAGCTTTCTTAACTAGCTTGTTCAGTCTCTTTCTGTCTCGGTCAGAGCTGCCTGCACCTCAACAGACCCCAGCAGAGTGAATAACAGAGCCAACAATAGAATGATGAAAGGATTTTAGCAGCTGGGAATGAATTCCGAAGGACCTACGCCTCCTCAGGAGGTGGAGTTCATTTAATAATAAACATACAATAATAATAAAAATAGAAAAAATGCTGGAAGTGCTGCAGGGGTGTAAGAAATTTTATCTGGTACGCTCTTGGTGCTCTTCAGCCAAGGGATCAACATAAATGTTGGCAAAAGGAGATCTGAGGCACTCAGGAGATGCAAAATTAAAAGCCTTTATTAGTACATGGCTCAAATAGATAAAAACATGAATGCTGACGCATTTCAGCCCACAGGGCCTCCGTCAGAGCTCTAAATGTCTGTAGGTTCTCTCACTTTCATGTTAAGAAGGCTAATCAGTGACACCTGCTGAAGTTGGGCAGGTAGACAGCATTCTGATTGGATGACCAGTATAACACACACAAAAAAACTTTTAACATCTAAACAATCCTATTGTAAGGATGAATACTTACAAATGTTAGATTACACTTAGAGAATTTGAGAAAAGATTATAAGTAAATATGGTACACAAATGGTAAGAAATCATGAGATTATAAATAAGGAGCAAAATCTAATTCTCCAGTAAGACCTGGGAAATTAGTAGCTTTTAGTGTGTAAATCCAAAATGATTCTCTGTGCAAGAGTTTTTAAGCCCATCTCCTCCTCTAATAGATTGTTATGTTGAAGTTTATGTTATTTGGAAATAAAAGAAGTAGTAAAGAAATCTATTTGACTGTTAATGAAATAGCCATTGAAAGAGTGTATGAAATTAAGTTTTGGGGGATATTGATTGATCATAAGCTCTGTTGGAAGCCATACATACAATATGTGTGTTCTAAATTAGCCAGAAGCATTGGGATAATAAATAAAACAAGATATTCTCTACCACAGAAAGCACTACACACACTTTATTGTACTATGATTCTACCATACTTATCATATTGTGTCGAAGTATGGGGCAATACTTATAAATCTAATTTATTAAAGATTTGTGTTCTCCAAAAAAGAGTGGTAAGGATAATTATAAATTCTGGATATAGAGATCATACAACTCCATTATTCTATAATTCCAGATTACTCAAATTTTTTGACTTAATTCAATTTAAAACTGTCCTTGTACCGTATAGGGCCATGATGGGTGTACTGCCGTGTAATTTGCAAAGGATGTTTAAAACTCATGAAGAGGGTTATTCTTGCTTTGCAAAGTTTGGTCTAGGCATGCTCCATTGAAACCTTAGTAGCTCCTACCAGGACTCTGGCTAGCCAATCACAGCTCTCTAGAGGGGTTTCAAACACATAAAGAGCTGTGATAGGTCCATAATGGTGGGCCAATCATAGTGCTCTATCTGCTTAGTGAACAAGTCACAGAGCTTTATCTGCTTTGTGGGCCAATCAGAGCACTCTATATGCCTGGTGGGTGGGATGATGCAACAGAGTGAAACAAGAGTATGTCACATTCATTGTCCAGTGGAATGCGGAGGTCATTTGAAAGACAACGGTAGAACCCGCCCCACAACCGAGAGCCGTCAATGGAGCGTGGCCACTAAATAATACATTTACTTAGTCTGGCTTGCCAGACTACCTACTATCAGCTTCAGACGAGCCCCAACATTAAATGATCAACTTGTTCAAAGTCATTTTCCTCCACAGCAACAAAAACCTGGTTATCAACTCGAAAAGGCAACCATAAATGTGGAAATTGTGTTCACTGTGACAACATGACTAATACTAACTGTTTTGCTGATGTTTTCACAGGACGTACTTTTTACATTAATACATTTATCAATTGTAACACTTCGTTCGTGGTCTACAGACTAGAACTAGATGTGGTTGCTTCTATATTGGGAGAACTAAACGTAAGTTAAAAGCAAGACTTGCAGAACACAAACATGGAATCAGATCTGGTAATCCTCTATATCCTATGGCAGTGCATTATAAAGACACAAATCATGGAGGCTGTAACTCTTTAAATCACAGGGATTGAACATATAAAACATTCAATTAGAGGAGGAGATGGGCTTAAAAACTCTTGCACAGAGAATCATTTTGGATTTACACACTAAAAGCTACTAATTTCCCAGGTCTTACTGGAGAATTAGATTTTGCTCCTTATTTATAATCTCATGCTTTCTTACCATTTGTGTACCATATTTACTTATCATTTTTTCTCAAATTCTCTAAATCTAATCTAATATTTATAAGTATTCATCCTTACAATAGGATTGTTTAGATGTAAACAGTTTTTTGTGTTATACTGGTCATCCAATCAGAATGCTGTCTACCTGCCCAACTTCAGCAGGTGTCACTGATTAGCCTTCTTAACATGAAAGTGAGAGAACCTACAGACATGTAGAGCTCTGACGGAGGCCCTGTGGGCTGAAACGCGTCAGCATTCAAGTTTTTAACCATTTGAGCCATGTACTAATAAAGACTTTTATTTTTGCATCTCCTGAGTGCCTCAGATCTCCTTTTGCCAGCATACAATAATAATAATACTTTTGAGACTGATTTACACAAATCATACCTCGTTACATGAACAGGATGAAAATGATCTTCATCGCAAAATGTGTATTATGATAAATGAGCTGCACTTGTATAGCGCCTCTCGGAGTCAGAGGACTCCAAAGCACTTTACACTACAGTGTATCACTCACCCATTAACACACACAATCACACACTGATGGTGATGAGCTACAATGTAGCCACAGCTGCCCTGGGGCGCACTCAGAAAGGTGATAAATAATATTGCTAAAAGTTATACCTGTGTGCTGGTTTAGCAAAGAGACTTCAGCTCAGATCATATTGGGAATGTAGCGTATATCTAATTTATTTTTATAGTTGAAACGTAGTTCCTTCCTTTCTGCAGCTTCTGGTGAAAAACCTGCAGTTTGAAGATGGAAAAATGATTCCTGCAGCACGGTATTTCCAGTCAGGAAGCAGTGCTGCTGTGAAACTCACTGCAGAGGAGGAAACCTTTGCCACGAAGATGAAGGTACAGATCCACTTTTTTAAGAGAGCAAAAACTTCAAGAGTCAGGAACATTGGTGCCAGACGTACGGTGCAGAGCTGAGCTTGCATGTGTCTTCTCAGGCTGTGTGGCAGAGCATCCTGACTAATGTGAGCCAGGTTGAAGACTCGACAGACTTCTTTAAGTCTGGAGCTGCTTCAATGGATGTCGTCAGGTAACAAACATAGTTTCTTCTTACTTTACCTTTTTTCTTGTTTAATGTTGTTTTGCACATGATTACATTTATTTTAAATTAACTAAAGAATGGTGTCAATAAATTCACATATTTATAAAATCAGATTTCCTTTATAGGGACATTTGCTGTATGGCCAACAGTATTGGGACATCTACTTTTGCACACACACATAAACTTTATTTGCAACCTTTTGTAATTGTTTGACATTTTGATT